ATTTAACATGTTTCATTTTGTCGTCTTGCTATGGATGCGGATGATGAGTGTGAGGGTCCAGACTTACGAGAAAGTATAGAATATTGTCTCCCGCTGAGCATCTTGATCACATTAAAAGGGAGCGATTTTACAAGAAACTAGCGAACCAAACAGATGGATGGAAAACATTCAAAAGAAAATCTGTTGTCTCAATGATCTCGCATTGCTTTTGATGCGCATATTCGCCCAAACCGGGAAACGAGAAAAACAATAAAAGTGTTGACGAAATTAGACAAACTAATACAAAAAGAGCTATAAAGCGGTAAAAGAGAATTTATGGTTTATGTGAGTCTTTAACAATACGATGATCATATCCATCCAGGCAACGACGAGGCTGCAAGTTGTTAATGATATCAGTCGAATATTAATGTGTTTTCAAGTATGCGCTAGTTTTCAATTAATTCTAACTGTAACCGTACCTCATGTTAAGACAAATATCGACGAAAAATTATCGTGAAGTTAATGAATGATGCATAGCATAACAACATTCAGATATCAGCATCGCTTAAACCTGCCGCAGGTTAGCGCTTATTGTTTAAGACTAACCGTTAAGGACGATCACACGCCGCACGGCGATTATTGCGGACACGTTGTAGAACGGAACCAACCACATCTTGGACGTCGCTGTCAAAGATTCGACCTTGGTGTTCGGCAATCTTTTCACGTTGATGTTCGGCTGCCATGCACGCCATAATTATTCCAATCGTCATCAACACTAAAAATTTCATGAATGATTGATAGTAATTCATCGGTGTATGTTTTTGTTTCTTAGATAATGATGGAGTGTTCTGAGCGAATGAATTATGTTGAATTCAATATCGGTTTATATACAGCCAGAAAGAGAAAAAATAAGAGAGTAAGATATTTTTTTCCCGATTGTCATTTCTCATTTTGTTAATGTCATCCATATTTTCTTCTTTTTTAGAGATATCCCTCTTTTAATAGAATAAGATAAGAAGGACGGGCATTTGTGCACAAAGAAACGAACAGTATAAAATAAATATATTTCACTGAAGAGAGAAAATGGTCTCGGAGAGAAGGTGGGAGACGTTATTCTCGCTTCAGTGAAGAAACGTACTTACCTGCAGAAAAAATGTGTAGCATTATTATTTGATTAGTCAGTTTTGAGTCGTTAAATGTATGGAAACTTGGGAAGGATGTCACCCCGTTCCTTGAAACGTCAGTAGTTTCGCTGGTTTCTTGTAAAATCGCTCCCTTTTAATGTGATCAAGATGCTCAGCGGGAGACAATATTCTATACTTTCTCGTAAGTCTGGACCCTCACACTCATCATCCGCATCCATAGCAAGACAACGAAATGATATAATCTAAGTAGTGCAGTGCAGTTAATGCCTATAATATACTTCGGAATGGCTATTACCACTTACAGAAGTGTCAACTAGAAGCTATGGCCATGTTTCGAACTGTCAATAAACGGCAAAATGAGACGCAAACAAGAATAATATACAATATCAGCAGCATCCAACAAAAAGTGAACAATGTGACCTATCTGAAAAATCGAGATTTTACTCACTTGTCACTAAAAACGTTTTTTCTCTGCAAGGATTCAATAGTTTCATCCCAAAATGTTATGGGATGTTTAGAAAGACTATCTCTTTATTCTTTCCAACTGTAACACTCAGGTGTGCTAATGTCTTCGAACGACAGTGCGTGAACATAAAGTACAGTAGCGGTGAAAATGACGTAAACTGTAAGAATAAGCATAGATTTCTACTAAAGTACCCAAACAAAACTGAGTAAGTGAGAAAATCTAGCTGAAAAAATAGCTGCAGCGCCCACTTACAGCTAGATTAACTAGATTAAAAGGTACGTTTATCTAGCTACATGCTGATTGAAATCGTGTATTAGCTGAAACGGCTGCTGCATTGGCCAATTAATGACGCAATGAATTGCCCGATTAATCGATAGCAACTAGTTGTACCCAGTTGAAGCTAGATTCAATCTAGCTGAAGCTATATCAAATTTTCCTGTATTTCACTGCATCTAGCTGAAGTTAGATAAACGTACCTTTTAATCTAGATGCAGCGCCCGCTTCATGATTTTTTTTCGTGCTTGGGTATACTCTCTTGAGCAGAGAACATCAAATTACATATATCAAATAATTTTCATCCAAATCGACCCGAGTACAAAAAAGCAATACAATTTTGCTTTTTAACTAATATGATGTAACGATGGATCAGAATAAATGGCGCATTTTTGTTCTTTGTTTTTGAGACTTTCCAGGGATGCAAATAGTTGGCTCGATCAATAGAGTATTGAATTTTCTACAAAACCTGCTATTTGAATCTCTGAGAGCATTTTTCTCGTTTGAGCACCATTCAAAATATTGTAGGGTGATGAGTTGTCGAACTGCGACACACTGAAGTAGTTTCGTTTTCTTTAGATTTTTAGCCCGTTATCTGATATTCAATAGTTAATTTTTCTACGCAGAAAGATAGAGAATTTTGCGGTCTATCGATCTTACTCGCTTACAACTTCATACAATGTTTCCGCTACGTCAGCTAGAATCATAATTAGTTCTCAACCGGCTTTCCAACTTTTTCAAATTAAATTAACCTTTTAATTAATGGTTTCAATTGAGAAACTTTGTTTATGTATCAAAAGACGCAGAATTTAATTCTGTGTGAGATAATAAGACTAGAAACTTGGATTCAGAACGTTTTACTGCTTTTATAGCCCAAAAACTAAAGTTTGTTAAAAATAGGTTCAAAAGTTAGCGTTTTTAAGAGTTATCAGTTTTTTGCACAGAGAAATTTCCCTAGAAGATTTAACTGCAAATTTTCAAAAAATATGTGAGAAGATGCAGAATTTTTCGGTGAATCTTCTAATGTTTTCAAAGTTCTTATGGAACCTCTTTTTGGATCAAGGTAAATGTTTTTCTATTTTCAGTGTGTCGCAGTTCGACAACTCATCACCCTGCAATATTTTGAATGGTGCTGAAATGAGAAAAATGCTCTCAGAGATTCAAATAGCAGGTTTTGTAGAGAATTCAATACTCCATCGATTGAGCCTAGGACCATCTATTTGCATCACTGGAAAGTGTCTCAAAAACAAAGAACAAAAATGCGCCATTTATTCTGGTCCACTCGTTATAGTCACCTTTAGCTGATATAAGTGAATTTCGTACTATTCTCAAGATTTACTACTAGTTATTCTGATAATGTATTCCATTCACCTTTTATATGTCGAACTAATAACTTTAAATCTTTTTCTCTTTTAGCAGAAACACCTAGCTTTAGTCAGTCCCAAAGATTATCAATGGGATTCATATCAGGTATTGATGGTGGCCAAGGACGAGTAGAAACATTATGGTCTTCTTTCCATTTCATTGCTAATTTTGATTTATGTTTTGAGTCTGAGTCTTTGAGCAAATACCAATTATCTCCCCGGTGAAACATTTTTCAGACTGACAACAAAAGACAATTTTGATAAATTTCATCACAAAGATAATTGGATTTTAAATTTTGTTTGGAACAAATGATCTTTCAGAACCTTTGTTTCTAAAAACATCCCCAAATATCAATGGTATTTTACAATACGATAAACGTTTTGCTGTCCTTTATGTTTTTAATAGTATTTCTTAACAGGTCGAACAGAAAATATTGTATCCGGTATACAGCAAGACCGACAACTTATTTTCAAATTTTATTCAGATTGAAATCAAGTTAGAATCTGCATGATAGTGTATGTAAAAACAGATTAAAAATTCCGTTAGTCAGCTTTCAAGTTGCATGCACCAGTAGATAACATGAGACATTATTTGATACCGTTATCTCATGGCGGGAACAACGTTAGAGAAATTATGTTGTATGAACCTTTCTTTACACATGAGATAATAAAGTAGAAGTATACGTGTCAGAGTTAGAACCGATCCGGCCGGTTGAAAAGTTCGCCCGGTAGCGTTTCTCATCGGTCCAAACTTTGAAAAAGCTTTTTTCTCGTTATAATAAGCAGCGAAAATAGTAAAAAGTCATTTGAACAATAACTTTTTGTGAAAATAGACAACGTTTCTCACTCACATGGCTCTACCTTTCCTTCCTTCATACGAGTTTTCTTTCACTTATACTGTAAATTTTGTTGATTTTAAAGACGTGCGTATAGTTAATAAATGAGGATTTTCCATAAAATTTAAAAAAAAATGTCGAGAATTTTATAGAAACTAAAACTTTCCATAAAAACGCTATTGATTATTCATTCTCTTCAGATACATTGAGAATTTTAAACAAATCAGAAAAATTACGATTTTATACTTTTTTTCTCCTCTGAAATCGCGATTTTCCTAGTTTCTTTAAAATTGTCACTGCATCTGAAGAAAATGAGTAATCAATAGTGTTTTTATGGAAAATCGATGGCTACTTTTTAGTTTTATAAAATTCTCGACAATGTTTTTTAGATTTTATATAAAATCTTCATTTATTAACTATACGCACATCTTTAAAATCGTCACCGACTGACATAACTCGCAGTGTAGGCGACTACTTTCTGTCATATAGCGTAGTTTTATATCGTAGCTAATAAAAATAAATCTATAGTGGTAGGTGTTTATCGAGTTTTGTTAGTAGACGTGCGCAAAGCACATTCAGCTCTTGCTTTTGTAATTCTTTCTCTTCAAACAACACGTAAACGTTTCTTTTGTTAAAGATTTAAAGGATTAAACTGAAGCTTTTTTTTATTCTTCAACGAATGAATGAAAGTAAACTATCTGATTTGCTTTTAGCACATTCAGATCATACATCAGTGATAAGAAATATGACAACTTCGCACCTCTAAGTCGTCGTGATTTTATCCCCTAAAATTTTGTCCAAATTTCGCTGGTTTAGAAAAATAGTTAACTGACCGGTCATCGGCCGGATCGATTGAAAAAAAAGTAATCAGTTACAATTGTGATATGTGTTGTACTGTATATTACTTCGAAATATAAAGAGAAAACAATAGGCAATTTTTTATCGCCAAATACGTAACTCAAAGTCAAACTATCTCATGTAGATACCCAGCATATTTTTAACCATATTTTTTGCTATCCTTCTCCATGGTTAAATACAATAACATTCAAAGTGAAATGGCGCAAGTTACATTTATCCACCAGCTATAAAAGCGCTTTTTGATTCTTCCATTGAATCTTCCATATAAAAGCGATTTTTGATACCAGAATACAGATGTGTGGTAAGTAAAATTGAGCTTTAGACAGATTTAAGGTTCTGTACCTAAAAAATGAATATTTAATTTGGATTAGACAAACTATAAGTCTCATCCTTCAGCTTCATCCTTCCTCAATAAATAGATTACAAATAGTTTTGAATTACCAGTGCTCAATAATAAAAAAAAGGACCCTTTTATGATGAAAACGCAGAACGAGCACTTCTTCGACCGTCGAATCCAATGGCGTAGCTACGGAGGGGAGCATTGGGCCATAGCCCAATAAGATTTCAAGCTTGGTGATTTTCTCAGCTGAAACTTTGGAAAAATCTTTTCTTGGCCCCATCTCTTCTTGAATTATCGTACCGAGGGCCCACTTCGTTTTTTACGAACTAATGGAACTGGCCCAATGGTCGAAAAATCCTAGTTACGCCCGTGGTCGCATCAAGAAAACATAACTTATGCATTTTGAAATTTCATTCGAGTTTCTTTGCTTTTGCGCAATACAAAATTTCGAAGAAAACGTTCCATAGCATACATTTTTGTGTACGAAAAAAGTGAGTCCACTATAAAATCGGTCAGTGAGTCCGTCCGTTTACACCAGAACTCTTCAGAATCTGAACCCAATGTGATGAAACTTTGTAGGGACAATCGTCTCGATCGGGTTCGAAGATGAGAATGATTGGTGAAGAGGTACTCGAGTTATAGCAAAAAAATCTCAATTTCCCACATGCTTTCTTATCAGAAAATAGAGGGGCCGCTAACTTGGAAGAATAATGTTTTTTCTAGAAGCAAAACTGACTTATGAGTGAGGTCTTTGTTGTGTTTCCCGACACAACGTTTTCCATTCTCACTCCCGCACTGTCTCCTCCACATGGGCCTTTTTTTGCTCCAGCAGAACATAAGCTTGATGATAAGCTAATAATGAATGATAGGCTTGACAGGTTAGGCCGAAAAAGCTATGTTTCCCAACGCAACAGTTTTCACATCTCATTCCGTGGAGCTGAGGATTTATGGGGCGGATATTTGATTTATTTATCAAATAGCAGATATCTGTTTCAATTTGGAGATTGTTCAAGCCTAAGTCCAAGCTTTTCTTCATCCAAAAATATTACGTTAAAATGTGGAGACCTGGATTTTGGCTAGCTTGGCCATGTCTAGTTTGAAGAAAAATGGCTGGCGCTGGGTGAATTTATTTATTTGAGAAAGAGCGCTTCGTACTAGAACGTGATTATTTATGCACATCATTGTTATTCACAACAACAGTTTGCTGAATATCTTTAAACCAAAGTCTTTCAGTTAAGAATCGATGACTTGTTAACACCAAAACTTCAAATAGTAAGGCTCAAAATACATATAACAATTATCATTGCCAAAATGCTCAGTTAAAAGTCTTGTAAATATCTCTGCAACTCGTTACCAATATCATTGGTATGGTTCTGTGAAGAAAATTGAATAATCGATAATGGGCATATTTTATTTACTAGTAATAATTGAAGATTAGTCTGAATAGTTTGAATCTTAATTATGTTTACAAAACCCTATTCTAATATTTTAATATTAGAAAAATGTTGAAGAAATTGAAGTAAATAATTGTTATTATTATCATCATCGTCGATTCCTTCGTTATATATATTTCAATAATTTGATTGAAAATCAGAGCGTTTATTTGTTTCGCAGAGTAGTCAAACTTTTAGGTAATTGTCAGAGCAATTGTAAGAATCCTTGATTCCGAAAATCCCAGAATTCTATGATTTTTGGACATGATAACTCAGAAAATCATACGCTGGTCGAATAGGGTAAGAAAGTATACCGTTCAACTTATGCTGATTCTCACCGTGATATTTAGTGTATAAAAAGATGAGTTCCGGCGAAGAAAACTGAGAAGTTTAGCATTCATTAAAGTGCCGACTGGCCTCAAAATGGCGTGAAAGAAATGTGGATAGAGGCTAATACAGCCGGATTTTTGATGCGAGGAAGATCTCTGTGCAGATTAAGAGACTCTATCGAATTGTTGACTTTTGCGTTTAGGCTGGAAAAAGGATCCCGAACAATTTAAAAGCTGTGTGCTAAATTAAGCGTGATTCTTCCTCTATTAAGCGTTTAATCGTAACATCAAGATAAACTCTGTTTTATCTGTGTATCATCTTAGAATCCAACAAATGTTGCAAAAACTGCTAGAAAGTATTTTGATTCTTGAAAAAGAACCTTTCCAGTTAAGAGAATAATTTCTGCTAGTTTTAAGTAAAGAATTAGATCGAGCAAATAAAACAGAGTTTATCTTGATATTGTGAAGTAGTTTGGGTCGATATTGAGTAAATTATGAATTTTTTAATTTTCGGTGAAAGTGGTCAGAGATGGATTCTTTCACATAATATAGGTTATTACTAGGCTTTTGAATTTTTGGGAAATTGCCATGAGATTCAGCGTGGTCGATAACGATATGAATGACCATACCCTAGACAAATCCAACACACTTCATATTTCTTTCCTACTAGAATCGTACAGGATCCTAATAATTGGAACTTCATATAACTCCAGGATACACGCGTGTAACCGGTATCAAAAATGCGATACCCGTACTGATCACCGGTATACAAACTTCGTACCGGTACCGGACCAGCCGGTATACCGATCGGTACCGACTTGTCTTGATCGTGTTTTGCCTAAATACAAACACTTTTTCGTTGTTTATAGAAACATCTCATAGATGAACTGAATTTTCACGATAGTTTTCGCCAAATCGTATCATACCACAAAATACCAGTAATGTCGACCGATTGATTATACTTCATACCACTGGCGGTATACTGGTCGCCGTTATACTTCATGCCGGTATACCGGTCATCGTTATAATTCATACCGATATCGGTTGCACCTCTGGCAAAATATGTTTTTTATAATTTTTGTGTCATTTTTCACACATTTAGTTGGAAATCTTGATACATTATTTTGTTTGATGTATGAATCAAATTCTTCTTTTGTTATAGATATACTGGCGAATACTCATGATCTCAAATCCATGGTAGAATGTATAAGAAAATATGATGCTTATCACAGCAAAAATATACAAAATTACGCAATGGTGAATCAGTAAGTCTATCGAAGGAAAATGTTCGGTCTGTAAAGGTACATGTATAGTCATCTAAACTGTATCCAAAACAGTGTTTTCACTTAAATTTCTATTTTTTTGAAAGCAAACAAGTTCGAATGAATGTCAGAATCCAAAAGTGTAAAAAATATTTGTCTGGACACAGACCGTTGCCAAAACAAACGCTACTGGCAAACATCAAAGAACTGTATCTAGATAAATGTTTGTCCAAAAATATGCAACTGAAAACTACGATAAATAATCAATAGAAGACAGCAGATTCTGTCTGGCATATACTATTTCACCACCACCATAGTCAAAAGAGCCAATTTTTTAACTAAAATTTGTTTTATTATAATTATAAAGTGAATATGAAACAAGATTAAAGTTCTGTAATCATTCGTCGTCTTTTGACTCGCCTTCACCCTCGTCCGGCTCCTAAAATAACAAAGGAAAAGATCACTCGTAATTAATATCATGTTAACATAGAACCGCAACATTCTAATCCGTACTGCTGTGGCTTCACGACGCTTTTGTTCATCTTGCGCGTCTGCTTTTTCTTCATCTGTAAACTGATCTTTATCTAATCGTTCTAATTTATCAAGAGTAACCAATACATCTAATCGGTAGCTATCCGACTCGGATAATGGTGTATCTAAATTTTGTAAAAGCATCAGTCATGCATTACAGGCCGTCTTCATATATCGTATTACCTAGAAGGACTAACGCTCTTAACATTGGTAAAACAGCAAGTTTTTTCAATTCAGATGCTTCACTAGTACTGTTTCCTCTAAAATACGCATAGATACAAACAACAACAACTATTTGAATTCGTTCTAAATGTTTGCTTCTTATCACCTTAAATTAATATACTGCAACTGTCTCATGTCTGAACTAAAACCGTCAAGATTTGATAACTTATTGTCGCGAAGATGTAATGTAGTTAAACGACTTAAGTTTTCAATATCTTCTAATTTTGTTATGTTATTTGCTGCCTGGAAAGACGAAAAAAACAAGGGAGTGGTGATTTCATCCACAGTGTTCTTTCATTTACCACAAATAAACTTTTTAAGCCTGGCAATGAAATCCCTTTTGTGGTATTAATGTGGTTTTCTCTTAATTCAAGTGAGGTTAAATTTGGTAGTTTACTTTGATCAAGTCCTGTACAGCTATCAATTTGATTATCTAAACCAATAAGAAAAAGGTTATATTATTAGGAATCATATCTCATCTCCATGAGCATACGATTAAGGTTTAGCGATTCTAAGCGTTGTTGTTCAATTCCAGTTATAGTTCGTAGACGATTATTACTAAGACTCAATGTTTGTAAATACGGAAATGGTGGTAGATCAAATGCTGATAATTCGTTGAAGTCAAGTTTCAATGTTAATAAAAACTTTAAACGTTGTAACGACGATACATTTCGTAATCGATTGTTAGACAAGTCAATGAAACGTAGATGAACAAATGCTTCTAATCGACTGATATCAGTCAAATTTCTACAAAAAAGATATATAGATTTTGAACGATAGGAAATGACCATATAGTGAGTGTACTTAAAGTTTACCTGTTCGATGCTTCTAGACGAACATAAGCATGTGCCAAACCACTAAAACGATATGGTTCTGATTATTTCTTATACCATACATGGGAAGAAATGAAGCTTACCTCCCGGTTTTTGCTAATAATGATAATGATTGTGCAATAATTTCATCCGTTAAAGGAATTTCTTCTCGAATCTAAACTAAATGTAAATTGATCAGTCAAGGCAGAGCAGCAGATTAGCACAATTTTTCGAAATCTCCCATAATTATCTCGTCCAAATCTTTCTCAGTTTCGTCAAAACTATAGAGATGATCCTTTCCAAAATATGCAATGCAATTAGGTTAATCTCAGGCCACAGAACCACAGAAACCTTTACACTTAAATTATAAACTCACATTATGTATTATGATAAATCATAGTTCAGCGAGTTTTTATGCCAGTTTGCGCTTTTAAACTAACACAGAATGAGATGTTCAAGTACAAACCTCTTCCTCGGCTTCTTCTGGATTTTCCTCATCTTTACTCTCTTGTTCTTCATTTTCAGACTTTTCCTCTTGTTCAATCTCTTCTTCTTCAGCATTTGATTCCTCCGCGTCCGACATTATTGTGATCAATACTCAAACGTAAGACAGGTTACATACATGCTAAAACATACGGTCACCATTTATCTCTGTTTCACAATAGATACGCCCCTCATTAGTTGTTGAAACAACTCTAATTTTTCTTTTTTAGGAGAGTTTCAGTTTTACTCTTGCTATGATGTTATGGCATTCAGATTTTAATTACTTTTTAAGAAAAAGGTGATGGTGGCGCTATTGTGCAGTATTATCTCATACAGTTCAACATGAGCATTAGTACACATATGTATTTGCTAGGGAAATTTTTTAGGACAATTTTTTAGTTATCGACTAGGATCATCCAGATACTTTTGATGGGTTAGCTATAATACATACACACATACACTCACGGTAATTTCGAGGAGTTAATGGAAGAACTCAGCTGACATTTCAAGTTAGTTCTGTTTAGATTTTAAAAATCTCCTGGTGAAAGACGTCTTCCAAGATCTGATGATTTCTTATGCAATCTTGCTACAAGTTCTTGGGGCAACCTTGTAAGATCTTATCTCAAGCTTATGTATAATCTTGTAACTTCTTGTCGTAAGATCTTATAAGATCAGCTTAGAAGAAATGTTAAGATCTTATACCAAGAAACCATATGGTCTTGCAAAATCTTGTATAAACCTGCCAGCGAGAGTGTTGAAATGGTATTTACTTTTTATCATAAGATCATACGATTTCTTGTTGCAAGACCTTATAAGATCTTAACATTTCTTCGAAGGTGATCTTCTAATAAATATCCGTAATATATATCGATTTGTTGATGACGAGTAGGGACTCTGTAATCTCAGTCGAATAGAGCAGTAGTTAGTGGACATGTTGTTTAAAATAAAAGTAACAAATTATGATTCGTAAATTCGAATAAATGGAACAGGGGGAAAACTTGATTGTTTTGGTGCGTACTTATGGATAAATTTATGACTAAACCATATTTTGCGGCTAATGTACTTGACGAGTAATAACCCAAAACATGAAAAAGCGGAATATGTGCATGTATAACTGTGTACATATCAGACCAAAAACTACCAAAAATTTGAAATTTTTAAGTCTTTTACCATTAAGATTTAGAACAAGGTAGCCTGAAAGCCACAACACGGTAAGCCAAAGGACTCCGGGGGGAAGGAAGCATTTTTATGCTTAATATTCGTATTTTTTCATATCGGCGTGGCCAGCTAACTCTGCTACCGTAAAAGAATTCCGTAACGTTTTTTCATCTTTTGTTGTTTATAAATCGTAACTCAAACGAGGCAGATAACTGCGACACGTCTTAACTTGAAGAAAAGACTGCTATGAACATTTTAAACGCGTCTTAGCTCTGTAGCATGTCTCGTTTTAAAGGTCTGATAGGAATATTAACAACTACTTTTCGATTATGCAAAGTTTAAATGTGCGAAAGGTAGTTGCTAATATTCCTATCAGACCTTTAAAACGCGACATGCTACAGAGCTAAGACACGTTTAAAATGTTCATAGCAGTCTTTTCTTCAAGTTAAGACGTGTCGCAGTTAAATATTCTCAAACGCAAGAGGGAGGGTTCAATTCTTCGTAAATACACGTAAAGTGACTAAACAAATATATATTGCGAAAAATGACAAAGCCGCTAATACGCAAAACAGCGGTTGCAGTGTCTTACGGAATTTAAAGTGCACTTAATTATACGCGGACGATCTGGGCTGAACCCTTTAAGACCCAATGTCAACCGGGATATCTTAAAACTGCTACAGCAGGGTGACGATGCGTCGAGCAAAAAATGGATTATTTTCCAACGTAAGTTGACACCATATGCTAGCAATTCCTATAAGATAAAACTATCTATCGGTCTAGACTAAGGTACAAGAGTTTCAAGTTTGCTTGACGTAATCAGTTGTGCGACGTAAAGGGTTAATCAAAAGAAAATAGAATACGTATAGAAGACTATTAAGTCTAAAAGTATTAAAGTATTAGCTTACGTTCGTTTTCGCCATTTGTAGCTATTGTCTGTTAAATGAGACCAACCGGTAGCAAACATACATTTTTAATAACATTATTCATTATTTAAACCAAAGTAAAAAAAACTGTCTTCTATTTTTTTGCTATTTTATTATTTTGATCTTTCCTTATCTGCAGAAACATGAATAAAATCCTGTGACATACATTTACATATAATAATCTCAAGTGTGTAGTTAAATTCAACCGTTTTCCCTTACACTCTAAAAAAGAAGACTTTTCAGAAAACTGAAACTGTGTTTTTCATTTGTCCCAAATAGGATCTGATGTGCATTTTCTGAAAATTTCCAAAACTGGTTTTTTCATTTTCCCGAAGAACAGTAATTGAGTTTTTCATTTTTTTAGATCCCTTTTTGGGACATTTGTTTTCCAGAAAATATCAGATCAAAAAACACAAAAGGCCTTCAACTTTTTTGAAAAATATGGATCTTAATTCCTATTGTCACCAGCCAACTTTTTTTAATCAATACGATATCTGTGATCATATGATGTACAATTATTCTTTTATTCAGTATAAATATTGCCAACTGGAAACCTGCACAAATAAAGCATTGCCAACTGGAAAACTATGTAACCTGCACCCTAACTCGACCGTCGCTTGGAACCCTATTCGACCCGGGTCGAATCAGGTTCCAAACATCGTAGATACTTGATTCGTCGGGTTCGAGTCGAATTTTAGAACTCTATTGTCAAGAACAAACATGTTCTCGAAGTGTGCACATCGTTATATATAAATAGAACTTTTTGAGAATAAGTTTAAGTTTCTGTAAGAAAAGATCATGTTCTTAATATATATTAGGAATCGTAAAACAAAAGTGATGATTGAAATATGTGATTTTCATTTCCTTTTTCAACTTCGAGTTTGAGAGAACTCAAAAGAAATATATTGTGTTTTCCAAATCTTGAAAAACAAAATTTTTGAAAAACTAAAATGAGCCGAAAAATTGAAATAAGTAAAAAACTCATTGTTTATTGAAAAATAGAAATTAAGTACTTCGTATTTCGAAGAACTTAAATGAGATCTTCGACTCGTCCTCTGAAAACACGAAGAACACGTTTTTTTTAGAGTGTATGTACATGATCGGTTTAATGTGACTGTCTCTTTAGGCCGAAAAATGTTTTCTTATATTACACATACACCACTACAACCATTTGTGCCACCTGTCTCGCCATCGTCAACATCGGCACAATTATCATCACCATCGTTTTATTCAACACCTCCATCACAGACATTGCCGAATCAGCAAAGAGATCAACTTTATTCTCAAAAGTCATATGCTTCACCATTATATCCAAGTCTTCAGACGATTCATCATTTAACTTGTCTGTAGATAGGCAATCTCAAACTTTATCTTAAATGTATCCCTCAAACCTGCCTAACTCTAATGCGAAACCGGGAGCAACCGATCAAATACCTGAAACATCTGCTACAATACCGATTGATTCTCAGGCAGAGCGAGACACGGTTTCACTGCACAGAAAAGAGATCAGTCAGTCACCATTTATCTCATAAATACGGCATGTTTCTGTCACTGCTAAAAGTAGGCTTCAGCAGTAGTCCGTGTTAGTTGTGAGATGCGCTTAAAAACGTGAATGATGCACGATTCGATAAACCCACTAACTATTTATATCTAGACAACTTAACATTTCAACCGTAAAAATAAATTGTGGAGCTTGTGCTTGCACCAAGATATATTCACGTTCCTGCAATGCACAACCAGTTGTTATTGAATCGGATGATTCAGCGTGCGTCTTTAGCTCGAACAGATTTTCAGTCTCTCCGCAGTTAGATAAATGTACCTTTATTCTAGAGCTGTAGCTATTTTTGCAATTAGATTCTCTCACTTACTTATTTTGCTCGGAGAAATTTGATCAATATAATTCATGCTTTCTTAATAGATAACACTTATATACAAAACATTTACCATAATGTATACGTTCTAAAAAAAAGTCGTAGATTAATAAACTACAATAAAAGAGTTTTTTTGGACTAAAAAACTGATCAAAATACCCAAAGGAGTTTTTTAACGGGTTTTTTAGGCTAAAAAACTAAAAAGCGTTCGTGGTCGTTTCAAAATGCAAAAGTCACGGTTTTTGGGAGTTAAAAAAGCCCTATTATTTTTTTCCTCGGGTTTTTTAAAATGACCAAAAAACTCTGTTGGTTTTATGGTCATTTTGAAAATCCGAGCAAAAAACTAACAGGGCTTTTTAAAGAGTTTTTTAGACCCGAAAAACTCCTGTAAACCGTGAGTTTTTCATTTTAAAACGACCACGAACGCTCTTTAGTTTTTTAGCCTAAAAAAAACGTTAAAAAACTCTTTTGGGTTTTTTGATCAGTTTTTTAGTCCAAAAAACGCTTTTATCGTAGTTTATTAATCTACGGCTTATTTTTAGAGTGTACTGAATTGCTTTTTTGATATATGCGAATTATTGTATCAATCGTGCCTTAGTTGAACTGTACAAAGCTCCTTGACAACATTTTAATATGTTTGCAAATATGACGTATTCCACAGTATTGCACACATAAAATTGGTTTTACTTTATGGTGATTCAGACTACTCAAGGATACATTCAAAATAGACAGTGCCGGACCTGTTTCGAAGAATGCTAGCGCATTTCTCAATTAACTTTGTAAAAAATATCGTATGAGAACAAATATACTCACAAGAAAAAGATGCACGATTAGAAGCCTGGAAAACATTTAAAGATAATGTTAATGTACAATGAAAAAATTGGCCAACACCATCGAATGATAGAAAATATACGGTTCGTGAACAAACCATACACCAAGCAAATAGTAAAGAAAATCCAGATCTTGATCACGGTTATGAAGCATGGTTTCACAAAAATCTGTACAAATACTATCTGTTATTTGTTATGGCTGTACATTGTAAAAAATAGTCGTAGATTAATAAACTATCAAAAAGGGTTTATTGAGACCAATAAACCTTTTAAAAAACGCTTTTCCGTTTTTTATATCCAAAAAACTAAAAAGCGTTCGTGACAGATGCAAAAT